CACTGAATGCATCAATATGGTAAAGTAGAGACTGTTGTATTCTCACCTGAACAGCAGACAAATCGCTCATATCCTCGCTCTGCCAGCTACAAGGAAACCCATAAGAAACATGTCAACACAGAATTCATGAGCCAGTAAACTGACCCTTGCCGGTTCCTTTCACTCCCAACAAGATCCTCTTTCAAATGCAGGGGAAATCAAATCAAATCATTGCCAGATAGGAATTACTCACCGTTTTGCACAGGTGACCGAGGCCCCTGATCTTGAAGGATCCTGTCGGTTGCGACGAATCCAGCTTGAGGTAAATAGAGGTCCCGGCCAGTTTGGTCAGGGCAAGGCTCTCCCTCACTGGAGTGGCCACGTGAAGATCCTGCTGGGTCTTCATTTCACTTTGGACAAAAGGGCAAGCAAATGGTTTTCAAAAAGATCAAAAATTTAAAACATCAACCTAAAAAAATTACAAAATGTCAATTCACAATGCGGTCATTTATACGAGAGGAACACAGGTTTCAGCTCACCTAGTTGTAGACATGTTTCCCTGAATATTACAGATCCTGTGGATCCTTATTCTTGTGTCTCTTTATCACTAAAATTTGTCAAATTTATGTAGCACTTGTCTGTGGACTTGACAGACCAAACCCATTTCTCAACCAATCAGCATTGCTCATTCAGACCAGACTCCTCCTAGTCATGATGAGGATGAGACAACCCAAAAGTGAATGACTTTCTGCATGCAAGCACAATTTTTGTGAAATGTGCTTATTATTATGTAATTACGGTATTATAACAATCTGAGAACCAAATCATAGAAAAAACACAACCTCCTGCTTAGTACTGATACAGTTGGGAAAGAATATTTAAAAAAAAAATGTCCACAAAGTAGATGTTATTAAAAACAGTTTCCCGTTATTAGATGCCTAGTTTCATCTTGTTCTTGTTTTATTTGAATCTACCCATGATGGATTTACTTTCTCTCTCCCATCTAAAGGAGTTGGACACAGTGCTGGCATCCCCAATCACCAACAAACAAAGGCAGGCACTGAGTGTGAGTCATTGTGTCACAACTGAATTTCCAAAAAACTGTCTGAAGACATGGTTACAAAACACAGTCATCATCACCCATTTTTCTTGACAGCCATCGTTCCATTGAAACAGTTTCTGAATCATTAGACACGCGCCTTTTCACCTCTTATTAGCACAAATCTCAGCTGTTTTCAGAAAAAACTCTTTTGAGCAGAAATTCTGCTGATTCACCTCTTTTCTGCAAAATTGTTAGCCTTCTCACCTCTTATCAGCACAATTCTCAGCAGCTTCTGCTCATTTCAGCGACCGTGGCTCAGGGGGTTGGGAAGCGCATCTGTAACCGGAAGGTCGCCGGTTCGATCCCCGGGCTCTCTGTCCTGGTCGTTGTGTCCTTGGGCAAGACACTTTACCCTACCGCCTACTGGTGTTGGCTAGAGGGGCCGATGGCGCGATATGGCAGCCTCGCTTCTGTCAGTCGGCCCCAGGGCAGCTGTGGCTACAACCGTAGCTTGCCTCCACCAGTGTGTGAATGAATAGTGGCATTGTAAAGCGCTTTGGGTGCCTTGAAAAGCGCTATATAAATCCAATCCATTATTATTAGTAATTGTCAGTCTCTCCACCTTTTCATTGTGAGCAGGAGTTTGGCTCAGTGAGATGAGTAGCCGCCTTGAGACCCAAAGGGTCGGGTTCGAATCCTGCTCATGGCGTTTTTTTTTTTTTAAACTTTTTCAGCTTTTTTCAGCAGAAATCTTCAGCGTTAAGGCATCCACACAGCATTTTCGCAGGAAATGCAAATTTTTCTAGTTAAGCAACTTAACACTCACCTACGAATCATTCAAGCACCTAACCAGTGTTGTGTGTTTACATAACAGACAGCTTAGCAAAAAAACTATTTTGAATTGTATGGTTAGGCACTTTGTTACTAGCAGCTGATTTTCCCAATTTGTAAGAAAAATGCCAAAGAAAACACAGTTCGGCATAAAATAGCATTTTAAGGTTTAAGCTAATAACTTGGGATATCTGGGCATGGAGTGCAGTGTGCACACCATGCTACTGCACGTGTATACAGTGCATATTATATATGTATTATATTTGGTTTGTAAATTGCTTTGGTATAATATTTCAAAAACAGCATTTAAGCTAATTTAATTTGGAGTTTAGCTACTTATTATGTTTCCATTACACCGCATTTACACTCTGGTTTCCTTAAGTGAGTAATAATTGAGTTCCTGGTGGTGTCAGAGAGCCCCTTTGACCGCATGTTGTCCATTCACAGCAAAATCTTCCAAATACAAGCACCACACTTCAAATCAACTCCAGGCCTTTGATCTGCTTAACTGATAACAAGATGACAAAGGGATTGCCCACACCTGTCCAATAAAGAGCCTTTTAGTCGATTGTCCAGTTACTTCTGGTCCCCTTTAAAAAGGGTGGCACATGTTAAGGAGCTAAAACTCCAAACCCTTTATCCAGTTTTACTGTAAATACTCTTAAATGACAGCTTAAAGTTTACATTTACACATTATGTCCATGTCCATTATATAACTATTACTGGAATATGTTTCAGTAAACATAAGTAAACAAGTAAAAAAATAAAAATAAACATGTGTCAGTGTTCAAATATATATAGACCTAACTGTATGTCTTAAATTTGACCTAGAAATTTCAGCAAAGCAGCATAAAAGCTCAGTAAGCACTGACAGCACAAAAAGTCTTTTGGTCTCTTCCTCAATTACACACATTGCTCAAGACAGTTTTCTTTGAATAGAACACACAATGAAACAGAATCCAACTATTGAGTCAGTTTTACTGTTTTACTGGCAGTTACTTAACTGCCAGTAAAACATACAAAGCATGTTTTAAAATAGACAAACCATGACGTCATGATGAGAACTAATTGTCAAAAGAGACTGGTAACAGTCACATTCACCAAGTCACATCACCAGCACTGGCTGGTCAAGCATGAAAATGTGAGGGTTCCTGTGACCAATAACTTAAAGAGCAATTAGTTAAAATGATAATTAGATCAAGAGCAAAAAAACAAAACAAAACAAAAACACAACAACAAAACCGTCAAAGAGTATTTGTACATGAAGACATTTCTTTATTGTGACACAAATCTCAAATGCCATCTGATTCTTTACATCTGTATAATCCATTTTTAGATATGTTAAGTTTCCGATGTGCAGAGGTAAGACAGTAAAAGTTAAGTTAATGCAACCATAAATAATTGTAATAAATATCAAGTAAATGTACAGCACACATTTTATCGTAACACCTCCTTGTATGGATATGTCCGTTTTATAACCTTTCCTACCCCTCCCAAGAAGGAGTAGTAGAAGAGAGAGCGTCCCTGTTAGCAGCGGTGTATCACCCTTCAAAAGGAACTGAACCAAAAACCAAAAAATTTGCAAGCAATCAACAACCCAATTAGTCAAATAGCAATTTTCGCTGTGTTTTTCAGTACTATCCAAGTAAAATGGCGATTTTACTCACACAAGAAAAACATGTTTCACCATGAGTAGAAGAAATTGAATCCATCTGAGTACAAGACAAAGGTGATAATAATATTATTGGTATTTCCAAAAAATTCATAAAAAATAACAACACAACAAACTGGATATCCAACAGACATCAGCTAGTTTGCTCATTTTAGAATCTTTTCTTGGAAGAGTAGTGCAAACCGAAAACCAAAAGTTATAAGGTGAAGTGAATTAGCAATTAATAAAAATTGCCAAACATAACTTTAGTCTATTTACATTTTTTTCCCCCCATCCTATTTATTTATTTTATTTTATTGTTTTTTTAAACACAGCTAAACATTTGGTTATGGGTAATTTGACCAAAAGAAAAAGAAAAGAAAAAAGCAGAATGCTGTTCATTTCTCATTAAAGAAAACTATGAAAAGGCAGAACTCAAGTTAACCCGCTGCCCCTTCCTCGGTGTACGTGTGAAGATCACGTATATTGGGAATAGGAAACAAGGACATTCACATTCAGTAGAAGTTATTACACAAACAATGTGGAAGAGCAGCAGCTCATGGGTTCCCTTCCTGCTTTCACAATGCAACATAGGTTTCACAATTTGTAATGCAACTTTATAAAAAAAAACAAAAAAAACAGAGCAGGCTTCGATTACCATCGTCCAATCTACCTGACCCTCGTTCTGCCACAGCTACTAAGGTATTAAAAAAAAAAAAAAACAAAAAAAAAAACAAAAGAGAAAAAATAAAATAAAAGTATCTATCTATTCATAAACTAATAGATTAATATGACTTTTTACATGACTTAAATACCCTCCCTTCAGAGACTTGGATAAAATGTAATCAGTTTATATAGGCATAAGTTAGTTTGTCCATTAGGAGTTCATTTTTATTTAAAACAGGCAGTAAACTACATAATATCCTGTACAGCACTTGTTCACACCTTCTGCCTGCTTATACTTGACAGGTTCCAAGACTAGACAGCAATACAAATTTCTTTTCTTTTCTTTTTTTTGGGGGGGAGAGTCATTGTACCTTAAACTCAAAAGCCATGATCATCATCTGATTTTCACACACAGCATCACCCTCTTGAGAGAGGCTCCTACAGCAAAGGCATGTTTCTGAACATCACCCCCACAGAGGGGTGGCAGAGGGAGGCAGCTACGTTAAGCGTTAGGAGAGTAAATGTTTGTTTTGTGCCATAATGGCAATGCCAAATCCAGCGAGTCAGACCGAGATTACAGTGCTAAAATGTTAAGCAATCGTGAATTCAATTAAATTCAAAGTGCTGATCTCAAAGTTAGCCCGTAACGCTGCTAAATTCACAGAATTTGACTGAACCTTGTTAATCCTTCTGTTAAAGGAAAGGGGAGGAAAAGGTGAACAAAAAGTCTCACAGTTGGTTCACTTCAGCGTCGTCCTCAAACTCCGTGTCAGTGCCAATTCAGAATATCTTCCCTGAATTCCCTTGAAAAAATAAAAATAAAAAAATAAAATACAATAACAAGAAAAAAAAAAAAAAAGCAAAACAAATCAAAATAATGAAACGTACAATTTGTGTAAACTGCAATATAAAGCAGGGATAAACAAAGCATTGCCACTGAAAATGTAATAAAATTAACTTTGTGACTTGTCAATGCAGCAGAGCATTAGGTCTGTCTCAGAGGAAAGTCCAGGAACTTGGGGATGAAGGGAGAAAAGGGGTCACGGGTGAGGGCGAGGTTTGGGGCACATGGGGGGGAATATTCGGTTGTCAAGTCTTCTCAGCCGCTGAGTGGGTCCTCGCGGTAGTGGATGGCGTAGCGCAGTTTCTCCAGCATCACGTCCAAAGAAGTATACTGGGGCAGTTTCACCATGAACATACAGGTCTCCACCCGGATGTAGCGAGAGTCTGGCTGACCTAAAGGAGAAACAGGAGTTCATAACCCAGCACTTCTCTCCCAGTTATGCATGTTTGCCAGTTGTTAATGAACCAGAAGCCCAATGACGTGCTACGTAGCAGGTGCTATAATAAGCTGCCAGCTATGCAGGTGTACAGTAAATGACAGCAAGCCTGAGATTTTGAATGTGTGTCTGTAATTTAACATTTTAGAGTTTGCTCAAGTTTGCAAGAGAAGCTGAGATGATTCAGGGCCTTGCTTAACCCTCAGATCTTACCTGCTGCTCCATCAGGAGGGGCGATCTTCATGGGGTATGGGGGAACATGAGCGGTGTCAGGCCCCCCATCCTTGCAGGGGCACGTGAATGGGATGCGCTCCTGATTGCATGCAAACTTGATGAACTTGCAGAGCTCCTCCTGAGTGAACATCTCCAGGGCGGTCCAGAAGAACTCGATGTGCTGGTCAGTCTCCATCAGGCCCACCTGATACATTGTATGAGCCTACGAGGGAACCGAGCACATGCTGAAATTAAATACTAACCCGTGACAACACGAGGTGAGTGAAATCTCTCTGTATTTCATATATTTAGCATGAATCAATAGCAGAATAAAATAAATAAATAAACTGCCTAGCCCGACAAAGAAACTTTAATGACAAGTGACACAGACATATCACTTTCACACAAATATATGTTTCACCTCAGTGTTAATTTTAATAGCAAGCTTTGATTTAGTTTTAGGCATGTTTTAATGTTTTAATAATTTAGGCATCTAAATTCTTCTCATTTTAGTTGACTATGTATCAAAAGGTTCTTGTAGACTAAATTTGAGGTTGATTTATTTGACTAAAATATAAATGGTAAATGGCCTGCATTTGTATAGCGCTTTTCTAGACCCTAAGGACCCCAAAGCGCTTTACACTACATTCAGTCATTCACCCATTCACACACACATTCACACACTGGCGATGGCAAGCTACATTGTAGCCACAGCTGCCCTGGTGTATTTACCAGCTAGAGTTGCTCACACAGTTTACAAAGCGGCGTAGTTTCATGTGTGCAAAATGTGTCCATGCGTCTACTCCTCCCTGTCTTCCAAGTGTTGACAATTTGCTCCTTGTTTCACATTTTTATGAGAAACAAGGAGCCGAACTCTCCTGCTTTCTTCAAGGCAGCAGATCAAATGTGCACCTCTAACCTTACTGCACAACTAGATTACTTCTGACTGGATCACTTCCAAACTGGCCCGCCTTTATACACAACTTTTTTAGTTCTGATTGGATCTTATTTCTCCAGAATTTTCTCATCTTGCTTTCATTTGTTAAGAAAATGTCAATGCATTTTATTTTAGTTATCATCTTCTTTGCGTGTCAGACAAGAAAAAAAAACGTTGACGTGAACTATGATGACAATTATTGGTCAACAAAATTAATACTGCTTTACCTTCAGGAACTCCAAGTTGATGTAAGGCAGGCCGCAGGTGCGCAGCTCAATCTCTATAGGGCTGAGCATGGTAAGCAGCTGCAGGGGAATGATGGATCCGAGCCCTGCACGCACCGCTGTCATGCACTCCACATTCTGCAGCTCCCTCAGACGAAGGCTCCGCACCGCCCGTGCATACACATCCTTGTTCTGCCAGCTTTGCAGACAGATACAAGTACACAGGATATCCAGAATAAAATCACACCCTAATGTTCTGTGGCATTTGGCTATAAAGACAACTTACGCCAAATTAAGATAACTGCAAACGGGAACGGGAACAACAACAACAACAAAAAAGCGATCAGTGGGATGATTTGTACCTGACAATGAGGCTCCGCCCTCCCTGACAAAGCTCCACTTCTTCACCAGTCATAGTGACATAGGTAAAGGTGCAGCAGGGACGGCTGGGGGAGTCTGGGCTTTCTCCTGAGTGGTGCTGGGAGGAAATTTCAGCACACAGGGCCTCTAGCTCTGTCTCGTCAGTCACCTTCAGCATAGGAGGGAAAAGGTAAATTTGAGGTCACTAGAGTCATGTTGGTAGCATCTAAAGGTGCTACAAACACTAATATACACTTACATTTTCAAATTTCTTGACATAGTTGTAGGTAAGCACATCAGCTTCTTGCAGGTCCTGCTCTGAGTCGAGAGGCTCACCAACTAGGCCCTTCCAAAATGAGCCCAGTAAGTCCAAAGGAAGTGGCACATCTGCACGTATGGCTATGCCTAGTAGTTGGCCAAAAAAGTGCAGCAACTGTTCCTCTGCATAGCTGATAGGGCATGGAGTGAGGATATATTTCCCCTGAGAACAGCACAAATACAGATACGAATTATATTACTCCTAACACAGCAGTTTGCATCATGTGTGATAAAACACATTTCAGTTAGTATCTAGCACACAGTCGGATATGAATGAATTTTTGGGGAAAACAAATAGAGCAAAAAAGACAAAAAAAGCAGAAAACATGGTAGGTAATAGAAAATAAATATTACCTTATTACGATTGGCTGCAGCACTGGGACAGGGGAGCAGCAGGGAAAGTGCAGAACTCTGCAACTCCTTACACACCTGCCACAGGAAGTGTCTAAAAGAGCCACCTGCACACATTGATCACAGCCAGTTAGAACAGGAAGGGGGCAAATACTATTCACAGGGCTGTACATTGATTCAAAGTGCACATACAAACAAACTTTGAAAGAATTTTAGTTCAATACAAATAGACCCGGAATCTGTGCTGCAGGCTTCTGCTTATGTGATTAACTATTGCAGTATGAGAACTCCTTTTAACCATGGTGCTTATTTACCCCTTCTTAAAGCCAGTTTTGTTGTTTTATTTTGGTAGAAATGTCCTTCCTTTTTTTAGGTTCCGGTATTATTTTTTTTATAACAAAAAATATTGTGAAATATAGTGAAACATGGAAACTTCTATCAAAACGAAACAGAAAACCTACATTGGCCTGTAATGTCTTGAAAGTGGTCAATTTATTTTATGGCCTGACAGTGTAATTAAGTAACTGCAAATGCCACATTTACATGATGTTAGTCTCTTTACTTCTTCCTGTATTACAGAAAAACAAAATGAGCAGAGCAGAATAAATCTAAGTATATCCAGTGCTTAGATTCTCAACCGATTAAAAGTTCATATATTTTGCCATTGATTTTGCATTTTGCTTTTAATACTGGTTAGTTAGTTGTACCAGTTATTTGGAAGTTTATGAATTAAAATAAATCTCAAGCGCAAGAATCAAAGGCAGTACAGAAGTATTGTGAGGGAGAAATTCTTACTCGTGCCATGAACTTCCTCTCCAGTGAAGCGGATGTTAAAGGCGTAGGTTGGGTCTCCTCCACTGGCGAGTTTCACACAAAGCTGGGATGACGGCACACACGACAGCTGGCGTGCTGCCTGGCAGAAGTACGTGTTCTCTGATGACCTGATCTCACCTGAGGCAGATGCACCCAATCAGAAAAAAAAGCACGTTTGACAAGATACCTTGAAAGTATGAAGAGTATTAGGGCCACATTAAGAAAAAAAAATAATTATTGATCATTTTGAGAAAAAAGGTTCGTAATTCTATTTCGAGGGGAAAAATCCCCCAAAATGTGCAGATTACAAACTGATGCAGCCTCTGCAAGATGCTTTGTGTAGATGAGTTACTGAAACAAATTGATTAGCTGCTACATCCCACTAAACATTGGATGTTAGATAGATGCTCAGACCATGTCTATATTGGGTCTGTTGTTTTTGCAAGCAATCGACATCTATACGACGTCCAAACAAGGTCCACAATTTGGACGCCAAACCATGACCCACCTTGGAGGTTAATATAATGCTCAATATATGAACTTTGGACAGGATAATTACTTTGGGCGTCACGTGGACATCTGTGACAGGTGCCGGAAATTTACATGATTAAGAAATGTATTTTTTAATTACAAATATCAACATTATTGTTATCAACATAAACAATATGTTTAAATAAAGATTATTTAAAAACATCCCCCATTACTTATGTGTTATTCTATTGATTTATTCAGTACATGTTGGTATTTTTTTTTAATGTTAAAATGCAAAATAATTATGGTTAAAGTATTTTTGAAAACTTTTGAAATTCCTTTTAAAAAGAGCACAATTGTATTTAAAAAGTTTAAAAGAGCATTTGCTTTATATATGCTCCATATTTACAAGTAATCCCGTTTTATTTGTGAAGAGGTTTGTAAGAGGAAGTGAGTGTGTTTGTATTCAGTAGCAAGACAAAAAGTTGCAACAGAAAGTATGAGAAGTTTATGCAATTGTGTATAAACTGGACTACTCTGCTCAACAGTATTTGTTTATTCGCACATTTTGCAAACTGTCTGTGAGAAGCTCGGGACATTTCTGCTCCAAATCCACCGTGCAGCTGCTCACTTTTGTTTTAGCTCAGGAGTCCACGCCATCTGAAGATGTCCACTAATCGCTCTGTATTCCTTCACACATAACTGTTTCTGTACAGAAAACATGCCCTCCACCATCTGGAAACATGGGACTATAGAGCCCATAGAAGCAGCCTAAAAACAGTCTAAAATGAGTCGAAGATGTCTTCAACAACCACATTTTAGACGTTCAGTAGACGTTGAAAAAACAAAAACAACATTGCCTGGCGTTACAAAACAACCCCTTCAGTGGATCAAACATATAAACATATGACATATAAAAGACAACAGTCCGATGTCACTTGCGCAGTGGGACTGTATCTTGTGATACAATATACACGCTCTTCAAAGTTTGTGGGTTTTTTTCCTTCTGACCAGATGTTGCTTTCTGCACCATCGTTTCAAGATCCTTATTACCACACTCTGTTTATGTGCTAAAAGAGAAATCGTTTTCTTGTAACTAAAACCGATTTTGAAATATAATGTCACTAACTTAGCTACACAAGCCATTATATAGAGGATATAGCAGCTGTGGCAATTTGCCTTGAAAATATTTTAATCTCCACATTTCTACATTTTTTTCTCAAAATGATCAATAATATTTTTTTCTTAATGTGGCCCTAATGCTCCGTTAAGTGATATTGAACTTTGAAAAACTAAAAAACGTGAACCAGTGAAAGGAATACCCACCTCCCACAATCTCTAGAGGGTCCAGTGTAATCTCTGGAGCGGCATGGTCAGCTGTCCGCTGCACTGTGGCATTCAGTACTCTGTTCATCACAGTGACCTTAGTGTCATAAAAGATTAGGCCTGCAAATAGAACAAGCGGTGAGTCATTTCAACAAAGCAAGCTTTCCAGATAGGTTACACAAACTACAACGCGAGATGTGTGCTCAGATCCCGCTCACCTTTGGCCTCACTCAACAGAGCTGCAATGCTGTTTTGATACGTATGTGTTTGTCTCAGTTCCACCAACGGCAGGAAGAAACTCTCCAGGCTGTTGTTGAGCGATTGCAGCAAAGCAAAGCGTAGGCGTAAACTCTCCACAGGCACATCTGAAAACATTGACATTTATACAAAAAGTTATGTATAGCTGACAAAAACCCCCTGAGGTTTCAAACTTTTCAGTGAAACTCCAAAAGTGCTGGCAGTTTACATACTGAGCAAGCAGGCCACACGAGGATCAGCAGCATCACTGGGGTCCAGGTAGACTTCATGGGGGTGCAACCGGGATGGTGTGATAGCCAGGTGACGGCACAGTCTGTTGATGTACTGTACCAATGCCACATCCATTTCTAAGCTCCACTTTCTACAAGCCTTCTGTGCATGGCGAGTGTCTATACAGGTGCACCTGGCAGAGGAGCACGGGAGTTCTTAAATAAAGAGCTCTGAGCTCATTAAAAACATTAAAGAGCAGAAACATTATCAGATAGAGACAAGACACTCAAAGAATCCTTAATACAAACTGATCCCTAAGAGCCAATCAACTGCCAAACCAGGGAAAGAAAAAAAAAAGAAAAAAAAAAAAAGACATGAAACAACTCACACACTCGCCTTCTTAAAGGCAAGCAGAAACTCAGCAGCCATATAGAAATATCTGTGGGCAGTTATTTTTGATAGAAAGAAAAAAACAAAACAACCAAAAAACCTTCAGTTTAAATAATCACCAAAATGTTTACTACATCTGTAGAATCAGTCGACTCTGATAAAAATGGGACTTTGCCCCAAAATAAGGCTTATGAAGCTTTTTTCCCCCACTAGAAATTCTACATATATCATCATCTTTGCAGTTAGTAATAAGACATAATATATGCATTTATTATTGTTTTTATAAAGGTTAAAAACTTCTAATTAGGGCAGAATTACTTAAAACAAAAGAAAACTGACAACATGTTAAGTTTGTTGTGTGTGTGTGTGTGTGTGTGTGTGTGTGTGTGTGTGTGTGTGTGTGTGTGTTTGTTTTCAAACAAGGCTGTTCAAATCTCACCTCTCAAAGTGAAGATCATAACCACAAGCCAAAATTGCCCTCCAGACACTGCGGATGTCCTGCTTGGCTCGGTCAACAGCAAATTTATGGAAGCCTTCTAGTGTCAAGTACTTCTCCTCTGGGACTAAAGAAACCATTCACAGCAGGTTGCATTTCATTTACAAATACATGGATCAGCTACTGATATGGAAAATTCTCACTTTTATGATAATGGACTGGCGGTGTGTCAACAGACAAAAGTGCCTTTAAATGCAATTGTGTGGATGTCTTAAATTCTCTGGTAACCTACTTACATTAATTTCAATGTTGTGCTGCTTCATCCTACTTTCCTACAATTCAGATACAAATATTATGCTTTTTCTTCTCTACAGTTTCAGCTGTTAATTAGTTTTCAGATTAAACTTAATGAAAAGGTTTATTAAGATACTAACAAAACAAAACACCCGCGCAAAACATTGCTTTTAATGATTTTGACATATGACAAAGTGTCTCGTGTCTGGTTTTGGGTGCCCTCATGAAATGACGCAACTATGGAAAAAAAAAAAAGCAAAAATGAAACTGCTATCATTTTGATGTTCAATTTCCATCAGGTTCCCTAAAATTTATCTCATGACACAGCACAAATGTTTTCACTTTTTCGTGTCCTTTGTTTTTATTTCACTTTTACTTGCGAAGGAACATTTGAAACTCATGGATAAGCCTGGATAAGTTCACAGCTTAGGAATGTGAATATTTCTTCACCACACATTTAGTTCTGTGGTAGTTAATTCAAAGGTTGTTTTAATCCTTTGCAAATCTTTGTGTTAGCTAAAAATTCATAGATGTGTGGAGTCCAAGTGGGAGTGTTTATTACAAACCTTCGGTTTTCTTAGCAGGAGATTTTTCCACATCTTTTTCTTCAGGTCTGGATTTCTCAGGAGATTTCGGCTTTAGCACTGTTTTCTTCTCACTCAGTGCGGTTCTGAGAGATGAGCACATTTTAATTCAGTTATCATGGCAGTGTGTTTATGCCTCTATACATGTAGTTACCGTTCAAAAAGTGAGTGACGTACCTGACACTGTTAAGCACAGACTTTTCCTTAGTGGGAGGTTTGGTGATGGGCCTCTTGGTGCTTACTACCTTGCCTTGATGCTGCTCTTTTCCTGCCTTGCTGTACTTGTTCTTATTTGGCTTAGGAGTGCCATACTTTCTTAGAATCTAAAAAAATAAAACATTTTGTAAGTTGTTGTGTACAAAAGTTGAAAAGTTGTTTTAAAACAAAAAGGTCAATTAAATTAAATTACAGTTAAATTATTATTATTATTATTTTTGAATTATAGTAATCCATCTATCCATTTTCTTCAATTTTTCGAATTCAGGTTAGGGGCATTTAACCTGGCCCCACTAATTCAATGTCTTTGAACTGTGGGAGGAATCAGAGAACCTGAAGAGAACCACGCTGACACGGGGAGAACATACAAACTCCACACAGAAAAGGTACTGATTTAATTCAAACTCAGGGCCTTCTCTCTGTGAGGTGACAGTCCAAACTAAAACCGAGCCAGCCATTTGACTAACAAAATTTTGATTTAACTATATCAAAGAATTCACAAGTTTACTGTTGAGCACTTGTTTAATACCTGAGTAAGTTGGTCCTCAAGTACTTTCTTGGGAGGTCGAACATTGGTGAAGAAAGTATGCAGTAGGTTGCCTGGTGTCTGAGAGTTGATCTGCTCCTTGCTGAGGTAAATGTCAGACACTTTAACGGGCTTGGCTGGCGTGAGGCTGAGCATCTGCTCCGAGTGGACACAGCTCTTAAAAATATCTGTGAGGACATCTCGGGCTCCAGGTACAAGCTTGTCACCTTCAAACAGAAGAATTTTAATTTAGACAAAGTAAGAAAACTAAAAGCAGCAAATATGTGATTGTAGTTAAGTGACAACCTTTGATTGTTTTCTCCAAGAAGTAGTCTTCAAGGGCAGAGCTTCCCTGTGTGTCAAACAGGCTTTGGTTAACACTGGAAGCCGTGAGGATCTCCTCATTGGTCAGCTCCATTAGTTCTTCTTCACCTTCCAGGCTGGACAAGCCAATCAGGTCACTGCTGTTGAAAAGACTGGCACGAATTTTTTCCACTTTGGCTCGAGAACGCACCTATAGTCACCAAAAGAGAAATTTTCCTTACATTTTCAACATCTTAAGCACAAAATCAATCAGATGGAATAATAACGATTTGAATCAGCTCACCTCAATGACAGCGTAACCCTTGATGGGTCTGGCCATGACTGCATTGCTCTCTAATGAGGTGACTGTGTGCATAGAGCCCCCATCTGACGCGGATGGCGTTTCTGCACTGTCGACAGGTTCCCCTAAGCTGCCGAGACTCCCAAGACTCCCTGTGCTACACAGGGAGGTATCTAGACTCTCCTGACTAGAAACTGTCTGTGACTCTTGGAGTCCCTGCTGGGGGTATGTAACGGCAGAAGCTGCAGCCGCAGGAGTGAGAGGTGGGACAGCTAAAAGCTCCTGATCGACGGAAAGTTCACTGGCAGTGCGGGAGACCCCCTGAGAGGAGCTGCAGATAGAGGTCTGGCTGGTAGAAGCTGAAGCACTCACACTCATAGCTGGAGTTACACTACTGGAGCTGTCGGGACTCTCGGGACCTCCGTTGTTTGCAAAGGGGCGCTCAGGTTCAGGACACACTTTACCATCCTGAAGGCTTGCAACACCAGTCCCAGGTTTTTTCTTGGGGTCCTCCTCCTGGAGAGGAATGAAGACTTCATCTTTAAAGAGCCCCCCATGTGCGTTGCAAGCCCTTCGGATAGCATTACGGACAACAGCCTCCTCCAGGTGCGTGGGAATACCTGAGAGCACCAGCAGGCGACTGTGAGCAGTGGGTCCAACCAGAGCCTGGCAGGCGTCCGTTACTGCATCGCTGGTTACGCTTAAGCCCTGTGGGTCCTTGTTGGCAAGGTGTCGTAAGATCATCAGCAGAGTAAGGCAGCGGTGGAACCACAGCATGTCCTCAGGTTTACTACCTGCCATGTTCAGCAGGGCACTGTCACTCTCTGACAGCCTTGCACCTCCACTTCCCCGTTTACCAGACACTGCTGCCACTGCAGCTGCTGCTCTCTCACGCTTCATCTTCACCTTCTTACGCTTTGATAGCAAACTGGGGCTCTGCGGTGTCTGGCCTGGGGATGATGATGAGGATGAAGAAGAATCACTAAGGTTAGGGGCACTGGTGGAGGACAGCGCTCCCACTGAAGAGCCGCCAACATTGAGAGGAAGTGTCACCTCTGCAACAGCCAGACACACTTCCATCAGGGCATGAAAGTATGTGGAGAATCGACTCTGCTCCGCACCCAGGGCCAATGCAATGCCTCCGGATGAGGACCCCCCTGCTCCAGCCCCTCCAGCAGTCCATCCCTGAGTTTCCCGGTCATAGAGCTTTCGGAGTTCTGTCTGCAGGGCCATGAGCACTGCGAGGCAGGGGTTAAGCAAAAGAGCAATTGAACTTGAAAGACCAGTAGGGCTCTTGCGCTGCTCCAATTGGTGGATCTTCCGCAAAAGTTCCGCTAACAAGTGAAAGATGAGTTCTTTGATGGAGGGAGCCAGATCAGTTGTCCAAACCAAACCACCTAAGAACAACGACCAAGAAAATAATCAAAATTGGGATCTTGGGAAATCTTTATGCACCTAAATGTCTCGTGACTTATGGATGAAGTGGTATGCCCTTTAAGTACAAGGTTCGTAAGCTTTGAGTTGTTACTTCTAACTAAAAGGACATTAAAATGAATAATAAAAATTTAAAACTAAATATCACAATTTAGGATTTTGAAATCTTGTTTTTGAAATCTCACAATTTAGGATTTAATGGGTGAAATCTACATTTGTGTGTTTAATGTAATACTACAACTGCTATATGACAGGGATACAGAAATATGGCAATGAAATACAACATGCACATTAAATGGTGTCACAATGGATATTCCTCCTACCAAGTAGTTCTACCACTTGTAGCAGCACAGATGAGGGAACTGTGTCCAGCTCATCCTCTGATCGTTCACTGCTCTCTCCCAGCTTCCATGTTAGCAGCTGTTCAGCAAATGCCATGGCTAATGGAAACTCCAGTGGCAAGGAGTGCAACACCAGCACAGCTCCAGGAGGGGGGGACACCCCTACAATTAAGACAAAGGGATACTTCATTACATTTAATGGGTACAGAGTTTATTCACAAAACAGCTAAAGCAGCGTATATAAATTCCCTTTGGAATTAGATACTAACCAAGCTTGATGTGCACTTTATCAGTAGGGATCATAACAGAAGGATATTGATTGGTGGTAGGTGGGGGAGTAAGGCCTGTGTTGGTAGGTGAAGCATCCAGAGGATAACACACAGCCTCCATCAGATTCAGCTGGCCATTTCTCCGCACCTTGTGACCCAGGCCATACACCATGACTCGAGCCCAAGGGGCCTTATACAGACTTGAGCTAATGGAGTAGAAAAGATTAAGATGTCATTTTTGCTATCAATTTGATTTTGTTTTTAAGTTTTCTCTCCTATGTTTTTTTTTATTTATTTATTTTATTAAAGCTGTTATTTAATAAACCACTATAACTCACTCTTTACGACAGCCTAGCTGGCTTTCTTTGCAGGACACGATCACAAATGCAGCTCCTGGAAAGCTGACATCCATGCTTACTTTGGATTCTGACACTGGGAACTCCTCAGATGTAAACTGCTCTGGTGCATTCTGTCAAGAATCACCCCAATTGTAAGAGTTGTAACAGCTTGTAAACATGCACCCTGAGATAAATGTATTAAATTAATAACAGATTGGCAGAACAGACCTGTAGAAAGCAGCATATCTGCTTTGTAAGCTCAAGTAAGCTTTCTTCTCCTTGATGCAAGGCACGGGTGATGGCCACTGTCAACCACTCCCGGATTGGCTGAGCGTTGCCCTGGTAAAACAGGTCTGTGGGGGAGCAACTTTGGCCCTCAAGGTTGTGCAATACTGACTGAGCCAGCAGAACAGAACTTGAACTGATCGTGCCATCTGCAGGAAGAAAAAAATTGTCACATTTACCACTAATAGAATATGCACATGGTATTAAGGTGTTTCATTATAATATCGTATAGCCACACTCACCAGGGAGGGGTGGAGCCAGCAGCTGGTTAGATAGAAGCTGCAAGTGTTCCAAGGTGATGTCACGGATAGCAGGTATGTGGAAGAGACGAGTGAAGGTGTGTGGATTCTTGGGGGCAAAGATGTTGAGCAAGGCCATGCGACAGTATAATCTGGCCAGTGCACTCTCACAGCGAAGAAGTTCCCTAAAATAAAGCAGAGCTGCATGAATGATTCTGTGCAGCATGTAGACGTGTCATATTTATCCTCATTGGATTCACATGTTACCTGTGAATCTGAATGTTGCTACTGTCTAATGAGACCAAGCCATTAGCCGCAGTACGGCGAGATCCAGCAGGTGGGCGTTCCAGCATTTCAATTGGATACCAGTACCTGACAAGCACACCCTCACTACGCAGGTATGTCTCCACCTGTACCAGTTCATTCACCTTAACAAAGAAAACAGTTTGTTCATCAGCATCTTTGTTGTTAAGATAGAAAACGCTTATAATGGTAAATGAGTATACTTACAGAGTCCACATCCAGCACAACACCATGCAAACCAAAAGTTTTTAACATGCCCCTGATGGCAAATTTCGGCAGTGCTGTTCCCCCTGTTGTGCTGTTGGTATTGTTGCTGTCAGGACATCGGATGACCACAGTCAAGCCTGTGTTGAAACAGTACATCACCACGAGGATCATTTAAATGACATCACATCATATTACAGTGGTCCCTCGCTATAATGCAGTTCACCTTTCCTGGCCTCGCTGTTTTGTGGATTTTTTTTTGTGCAATTTTGCATGCTTTTTTTTTTTTAACAGCACATTGTGTTTGTGTCCTGATTGGCTGTAGACCACTGTCAATCAATCTCATGCCATGTCTCCTGTACGGTACAGAATGCGTTCAGCTTGTCAAATTTACATAAATCCTCAAACGCTAGCAGTGTGACTCTGAAGTGCTGCACTGTATGTTTGTAAGTTCTCACCAACAAACGCAACGATGTCGATGAAATGTTTTGCACCATCAAAGACACCTGCAGATTCCTTTGGTTTCATTCTATGGTTTGAACTTTGAGAGTGTTTAAACAAGAGAGAAAAGTGTGACGATGTTCATGCCTGTCTGAGAAAAGTGTATGTGTAGTGCAGGGTTTTACAGTCTTAAAACATCTATAATAACTGTAAAAAAATAAAGGTGGGTACTTTGCAGACTTCACCTATCACGGGTTATTTTTAGAACGCAACTCCTGTGATAAACGAGGGACCACTGTATATACATTTGATTTTTTTCCCCCACTGGAAATTACAATAAGGTCATTCAAGCCTAGTGGCAGCAAGTGAAAAGTAACTATGTGCAATATTAGTACAGATGTCTAAAGACTTTGTTTTGTGTGCTTCATGAAATAATGTTATTTCCTTTGATACCTTTGCGGACTTTGTCGATAGTGAACTTGTTGGCCTCATCCTTGATATCCTCAATAGTTGGGAGGTAGAGATCTCGAGGAATGCCACCATTCTCTTCATACAGAAATTCCACTGTCTGCCTCGCAATGTCAACCATACCTGAAACCAGAAACAGCGTCTCAGCTCTACGTACAGGTAGACAGTCTGGTAAGTGATTAATTTTATAACTTCAGACATCTATTTAATGAGGGTTGATGACAAGAATCCCATCATCAAATTATGAAGCACATTAAAGCATGTAGTATTAAAACTGAGGTCTGATTTGATTTGATACTTAATTCCTTGGTCTATGAGTGAACCTAAATTATCAGCAATAAACCTTAAGGCGGTTAAATAAACATGTATGATTCTATTAATTACAAAACGTTCTTCCTATTATGACATTATTTTGACTTTTAGACGCAATTAACGCTCCATTTAGTTTTCAAAAACATCTTAAGGGTCATAAAGTTAAAGCAGCACAGGTTAAGTGTTTATTGTCATGGAAAGCTGCAGTGGCACGCAAGATTTTTTTGGCCATGTTGTAATATAAAAGTTATTTACCCAGCTGCAGAGCTCCTTTGATTTGGTCCAGGCCCGATTTCCTCTCAGCCTCGTTACGGAACCGTCTACGAATTGTGGGGAACACTTTTGTCTCCCATGCCTTCACCAGAAGGGCATAGTGGTCCTCCTGAAGTCAAATCAAAATTCAGTCATGAAATACTTCAGCTTAAAACTTTTTCCAACACAATTTTGAGCATTGCAGACTTTTCTTACTCTTGGAACATCATCATCATCCTCATCATCACTCTCATCATCAGCAATAGGGGGAGGATGTGGGTCGGGTCCAGAGGTGACCAGATTCTCATAGCTCAGCTCCACCTTATAAAGGCAGGACTGGTCACTGTTGTACTCTGCAAAAGCCAAATATTCAAAGGTTACTAGGCTATGAGGCAAAAATACAAATCGACAAGGAAGAAAAAAAATTATTGAAAAGGAATGCGAGATGACAAGAGACATACGCTGCTGAGCAACTGCAACAGCTGCAATCCGACAAGGGGGTCCATGAGAACCAGAGTCCGAAGTAACACTAGCGCCTGCATCATTATCGCTGTCTGAGGCCATAGCAAAGGGCAGTGCTTCAAAATTTGCACTGATTTCTTCTGCAAGGTCTACACACAAGTCAGCAGCATTTCTGTGTGCTTGGCCTTCAGCAAATGCAAAAGGCCGGCTTCCAAAGTTGGCACGTATCTTTGAGTTCTGCAAAGGAATATAGAGAAA